TACTGTGTTATTGTTCATTTCCTCTTTCATACTCATTAGCGTTTGCCTTGCATGTTGTGGTGCTCCTGTGTTGGGTGCATGTATATTCATCATTGTTATATCTCCTTGGATTGACCCTGTGATCGTTATGCAGTGCCCTTCTTTGTCTCTTTCCACGGCCTTTGTTTCAAAAGTCTGTTTTATCTGATATGACTGTTGCTACTCCTGCTGTCTTTTGGTCTCCGTTTGCGTGAAATATCTTTTTCCAGCCCTTCGCTTTCAGTCTGTATGTGTCCCTTGTTTTCAGGTGGGTCTCTTGTAGACAGCATATATAGGGGTCTTGCTTTTGTATCCATTCAGCCAGTCTTTGTCTTTTGGTTGGGGCATTAAACCCATTTACATTTAAGGTAATTATTGATAAGTATGATCCCGTTGCCATTTACTTTGTTTTGGGTTCAAGTTTATACACCTTTTCTGTGTTTCCTGTCTTGCAAAAAAAAAAAAAAAAGATCCTATTTTTAAAGCAAACTTCATATATATTTTTTGTAATCTTTGTGATTTTGTTTTGTTTGTTTTTTTAATACTGTATTTTTGAGAGTCTAACCTCTACTCTAGATTTTTAATCTTTGCTTTTTGGTATTTGTTATCAACAACACTTGGGGTTTAGAATGCAGTTACATTGGGTAATGGACTTGGCATTTCCCAGGAAGCCAGATCGTGAACTAGAATTCCAGAAAACCAAGAACTTCCGTCGTAAAATCCTCAAAGGTTCGGGAATTGGTGGCCCTGGACACCTCTAGAAGCAAAGCGAAGCCAAACACTCAGGTTAGGAAGACTGGTTGAAAGCTGCCTATGAAAAAGGTGAGAGTCCTACCATCTCCTCCCCAAGTCCATTTCCCCAGAGGCTGTCCCCACCTCACCCTAGCAGAAGAATGAAGGGGCTGCACCCTGAAGAGTGTGAAGCAGAGAGTTTCTCTACGAGGGCACACAAAGGTGGATTTACTGGGTGAAACTAATAAAGCTTCAGCTTCAGGGCCCCTTGCTTACATGGACTTTGTCCAGGGCCCTGGTAGGAAACCTAGCCATGTGTGCAAATGATCCTATTTCCATAAACTTTGGAAATGTATTTATGCTGCTCTCAGTTAAGCTTACCTCTGCCTTCCTTTCTTCCGTTTTCTTTTTTACTAATTTTTTTTAGTATGGTTGGTTTACAGTGTTGTGTTAGTTTCTGCTGTACCACAAAGTGAGTGAGTTGTGCAAACACATGTAGCCCCTCTCTTTTAGATTCTGTTCCCATGTAGGTTGTGTGTGTGTAGGTTCCCATGTAGGTCAGTCACGTACAACTCTTGGTGACCCCGTGGACTCTGGCCCACCAGGCCCCTCTGTCCATGGGATTTTTCAGGCAAAAATACTGGAGTGGGTTGTCATTTCCTATTCAGTGGACCTTCCCAACCTAGGGATCAAATCTGAGTCTCCTGCATCTCCTGAATTGGCAGGCGGGTGTTTTGTTTTCTTTTTTTTAACACTGAGCCACCTGCGAGGCCCCCTGACACATTAGAGTATTGAGTAGAGCTCCCTGCGCTGCACATTACGTCCTTATTGTTCAGTTATCTGTTTTATATATAGCAGTGTGTATATGTCAGTCCCAGTCTCCCGATTTATGCCTCCCTGATCTTTTTACCTTGGTGACCGTAGTTTGTTTTCTATATCTGACTCAGTTTCTGTTTTGTAAAAGGTTCTTCTGTACCATTTTTTTAGATTCCACATAAAAGCGATATCTTATGAAGTTTGTCTTTGACTTCACTTGGTATTACAATCTCTAGGTCCTTTTGCTTCTATATACTACCCTTCATGTCAGGCAGCTTGAGAGTAGCCTAGACCTTCTTTGAGATGGGACAGGATTGGGGTGGGGGGATGTTGAATTGAGAGTTTACTGTTTTGACTTTAGTTTGTAAGGAGATTTTTGGAAAACTTTAATAAACCAAGTGAGAAATTACAGACTCCTAAATTGGAAATATACAAAAGATATACCTTTTTTTTTTGTCATCTTCAATTTATTTTATAGTTAAAAGGAAAAGTCGACAAAACACAAAACAAGTGACAAAGGGGAGCAATGAAACCATAGATATTATTCTGAAATCAAGTAAAGAGTAACAAAACAATGTCACGTTGTACCGAAAGCTAGCAATTCATTAAGAGAATAAGATCAGTTTTAAATAGGAGTGATGATTATTTGATAATCCAGCTAATGAAGAGGAGGAGCAAATCATATGAACATGTTGCTAAAACATTTAAATTTCTAGTGGATTTAACATGAAAGACATAACAAAGAAAACATAGAACTCATGGTATGCCCTCCTACGAGGACATCAGTGACAAGCCAGTTTCTCTCATTAATTCAGAGAGCATTTAAGATTAGTCATTGTACAAGAAAATCTGAAATGTGCCCTGAAATCTTACAGTTTACTTATGAAAGAAACATGAGATTTTCATAAATTTTACAACAGTCCTAAAATTTATATTATATTTATATGTTACCAGTAAGCTGCATAAAAAAGCTTTTCTAAACTGTCAGTAATAAAAAACAAATTTCAATCAACGCCACTGGAAAAAAGGCTGAATTATCTTTCTTTTCTCTCTAAGAAAATGATTTATCAAGTCTGTGTCATATGAAGAGGCAATCATAGACTATGCAGCCAAAAAAAATGTAGAGAAATAAATATAAAGGTGTGTCAGGCAGATGATTAATAAAAATATTAGGTTATTCTTGATTTTCTGATGTTCATGTTGTCAGGTTTTATAACTTGTAATTTATTATGCTCTTTTTTCTGTCTAAATAAACATTCACTTTCAGACCTATTTTTACATTTGCAGTTTTGAAATCTCTTTCTTTAAAGGGTATGCAGAATTGTGTAAGCTTCAGGGCCACAGGTGAGGGCAGGACTTCATAGGGGATGAAGTGGATGAATGCATATAGAGTGCTGACACACCCCTTCCCCACATGCACACACACAGGGCCTCTTACTCCCTAAGATCCCAGAACAGTGAGCTTGGGTCTTTATATCCAGGGCATGGGAGTGGAAGAATCTTCTCTAGGGAATTTCACCTCCCTCAGAGAAAAGACCAGATACTGACATCAAGGATCCCCTACAAGAATTCTCAGCCAGATCATCCTCCATAGTAGACTGACACTATTAATGTGCTCACAGCTGCCTTTTGGTTCCTAGTCATATATTTGAGAAGATAACTAAGAATTAATGTTTGTCCAAGGGACGTATTTAGTATGAAAAATGGAGACTAAAACAAACCATAAAAGCAACTTGAAGGGAAACTGAGACTCTAAAGGAAGAGGAAGCTCTTTTCAAAGCTCTCATTGAAAGTTTCAAATAAAGCATGTGATAAGTAAAAACAGGTTACCCTTTTTTGAAAAAAGACATCCTGAAAATTAAGAAGAGCTGTTGGAAATGAAAAATGTGATAGCAGAAATGAAAATCTCTTTAGAAATATTAAAAGATAAGGAAACATTGGGGAAAAAAAAGGGAAATTAGAGGACCAACCAAGGTCAGCATGAGAATTATTTCAGAAATTTTTTTAAAAGGCAAACAGCAAATGGGAGTGGGTCAACAACAACAAAGTCTCCTTTAATCCAAGAACTAAAGATTATAAATGGCCAACCTGACAGAGTCCTGTGAATACCCCAGCACAATGGATGAGAACACCGCAAAGTACATTGTTGTGAAATTCTGTACTACAGAGGATGCACATCTGATCCTCGAAGCGTGCATGAAGAAAATGAAAAGCAGACCCCATGCAAAGTTTTGGGAATCAGAGTGACTGCAGACTTCACCGAAATGGTACTGAGAAAAGAGAAGCCAAGGAACTAGTGCCTTTGAGACTCTGGAAGAAGTCATTCCCAGCCTATAATTCTATACCCAGTCCAACTAACTATAGGGTGAGGATAGGATAAAAAGAGTTTGGTTTTTGCGTTTTCAAAATTGTTCCCCGGGCTTCTTTTGTTGTTCCGTTGGTTCCACTTCCCCCTTCTTGTTGCGGGGGCCCAGGTTCAGTCCCTGATCAGAGGACTAGATTCCACATGCTTCAGGTGAGACCGGGCACAACCAGATAAATACATTTTAAAAAATGATCTCCCTCACAACTCTGCCCACCCAGATGAGGAGTAAACCAAGAAAGGGGAAGACCCAGAGTCCAGGTGGAGAAGCTCCTAGGAGAGAGGCCAGAGAAATCCCTGTGAAGATGGTGATGGGAGAGCCCAGGAGCAGAGGCAGTCCATCCAGACTAGGTTCAGCGCTCCAGTAGAGACTTTCAGGAAGGGAAGATGATAGAACACCTAATTCAAGGGAATGTACTGAGTAGATTTAGACAATTGAGAGAGGATTGGGCTAAACATAGAAAATTAAGCATGTGAAAGTAAAAACTATTTTTAGGGAAACTTATGCAGTGTTCTGAGTTCTATGTTGCTGTGTAACAGATTACCTCCCCCCCCACTACCCAAACAGTGCCTCCCAACAATACCAGTTTCTGATTGTCAGGAATTTGGGAGTGGCTCAGCTGGGGAGTTTGGCTCAGGAACTCTGCTGTCTCCTGAAGATTTGGCTGAGGCTGAACAGTCTGCTGGCTGCCACACGCAGGAAGGAAAACAAATCACATTATGTTCCTAATAGTGTATTTCATATGAATCTAACCAGATCACAGTATAACTCTATTGAGAAGACAAGAGTTGCAAATATGCCTTTGGTAATAGGGGTGAAGACCCAAAAGGTGCGTGTGTTTGTTTAGTTAAATCTTCTTCCACGATAAAAAGTCAATAGCTAGGCCTGAAACCTAATGATCAAAGAGGGTCAATGCTCACATTTTCTATTTAAAGATGCAAAAGTACATATCAAAAAACAACAACAACAAAAAGAACAGCCAAGTTAGAAGTGCTCATCTCAAGCGATTGAGATTGGCGAGCCTAGAACCTAATGTTTTGCTTAGCAAACATTGTTTAAAAAATGATCTCCCTCACAACTCTGCCCACCCAGATGAGGAGTAAACCAAGAAAGGGGAAGACCCAGAGTCCAGGTGGAGAAGCTCCTAGGAGAGAGGCCAGAGAAATCCCTGTGAAGATGGTGATGGGAGAGCCCAGGAGCAGAGGCAGTCCATCCAGACTAGGTTCAGCGCTCCAGTAGAGACTTTCAGGAAGGGAAGATGATAGAACACCTAATTCAAGGGAATGTACTGAGTAGATTTAGACAATTGAGAGAGGATTGGGCTAAACATAGAAAATTAAGCATGTGAAAGTAAAAACTATTTTTAGGGAAACTTATGCAGTGTTCTGAGTTCTATGTTGCTGTGTAACAGATTACCTCCCCCCCCACTACCCAAACAGTGCCTCCCAACAATACCAGTTTCTGATTGTCAGGAATTTGGGAGTGGCTCAGCTGGGGAGTTTGGCTCAGGAACTCTGCTGTCTCCTGAAGATTTGGCTGAGGCTGAACAGTCTGCTGGCTGCCACACGCAGGAAGGAAAACAAATCACATTATGTTCCTAATAGTGTATTTCATATGAATCTAACCAGATCACAGTATAACTCTATTGAGAAGACAAGAGTTGCAAATATGCCTTTGGTAATAGGGGTGAAGACCCAAAAGAGGTGCGTGTGTTTGTTTAGTTAAATCTTCTTCCACGATAAAAAGTCAATAGCTAGGCTGAAACCTAATGATCAAAGAGGGTCAATGCTCACATTTTCTATTTAAAGATGCAAAGGTACATATCAAAAAACAACAACAACAAAAAGAACAGCCAAGTTAGAAGTGCTCATCTCAAGCGATTGAGATTGGCGAGCCTAGAACCTAATGTTTTGCTTAGCAAACATTGTTCCCTTGTTAAACAATGAACATGTATAGCTTTGATAAGAGCAAAGCTTAAAGAGGAAGTCATAAAAGTAATAAATCTAGATGAATTTTTCTGTGTCGGGGTGGAGGAGGTAGGTCTTTGTAGGATATCAAAAGAAGAAAATGTAAAGGAAAAAGATAGACTTGGTCATTGTGACTTCATACTAATTAAAAACCTCTGTACATTAAACACACACACACATATAAAATGGAAAGGGAAAAAGTAAGCCAGGAAAATAATCCTGATACACTGTCCAAAGTGTTGGTGGCAAAATATAAACTATTTCAGTCCTTTAAAAATATGTAAATTGTTTCAATCTGTCTCAGGGTCCATTTGGCAAGTGAATCAAAACCTTGAACCTGCAGGTATCCTTTGACCCAGTGATTCCAACTAATTGTAACTAACTCTTGATGTGCCCAAAGATTTAGCCATTCATTTTCATTTTCAAGAGACGAAAAACTTGAAGCAGTTGAAATGAACAGTGAGTGAGTGATGTGAGTACAAAAAGAAAACTAGTGGTACAGTTGATTAATGAAATACTAGTTAGCTCTTAAAAGTCAGGCTAATTATTATACAAAGTGAAGTGAGAAAGAAAACAAATGTCATGTTTTAACGCATACATATGGAATCTAGAAAGATGGTGCTGATGAACGTAGAAAGATGGTGCAGGGCAGCAGTGGAGGTGGTGATGTAGAGAACACGGGGAGGCGGGGGAAAGAGGAGGATGAATGGAGACAGTAGCACGGAAACATACACATTACCATATGTAAAATAGCCGGTGGGAATCTGGTGAATGACTCGGAACTCAAACCAAGGCTCTGTGACAACCTAGAGGGGTAGGATGGAGTGGGAGGGAGGTTCATATGTTTACCTATGGCTGATTCATGTTGATGTATGGCAGAAACCAATACAATATTGTAAAGCAGTTATCGTTCAATTAAAAACAAATAATATAAATTAATTAAAAGAAAAAAAGAAAAAGGCCAATGAAAACTAAATTGGCATATAAAAACACTCCTGATATATGGTCCCTTTATTTTTTAAAAGTTGTGTAAGTAATGCATCTACTGTATACGTGTGCACACGCATGTACACTGAGATTTGGGTGGTACTTTTTCTCTGGGATTTTGTGTGTTTGTATCTGTGTTGTGTTCGTCATAGTTTTCCAAGTTTTTGACACTGATCAGGTGTTATTTTTATAGTCAAGAAAAAAAAGTAAGTTTTTTCTTAAGTTTATTTGAGAAATAGGGGAAGTGCAAAGAAGAGAACAGTAATCATATTCTCACCACCCGGAATTAACTACTAACATTTGGCGTATCTGCTTCAAGCTTTGTTTTCTTTTGTGTTTTTGTTTTTTTTCCTGCAAATGTTAAAATATAATTAACACCAAAACATTAACCTTGGTTGTCTTTCAATAGGAGACTGGTGGCTGTTTGGGGTTTTTTCTTTTTCTTTTCTTTCTCTTTCTCTCTCTCTTTTTTCTCTCTTCTAGGCTTTTCTGTATTTCTTAAGTTTTCTCTGATGAGCATGTTTTACTTTTTAAAGAGATGAACTGTAATCAACTGTAAAAGGTAGAATATTTTTAAATGTCAAATAAAGTCATCGACATTTCAAAGAAGGTCAACAAAGTTTGAGACTCAGAACAGCTTTGATGAAACCAGGAGAAGGGAAGGGTTCCCTGTGGGTGGGGTGGCTGTATGTTCCAGTTGCCCCAAGTTTTATACCTTTTGTCCTGATGAAATTGTAAGTGACAGTGTTGACGCTTAAAAAAAAAAAAAAAAAGGACGTCCCACTTTGTGACAGGGAGTTAGGATTTGGAGAATAAATGAACAGCCACTCGGCTGAACCAGGGAGGCAGTTGTATTAGCTGAAAGAGAAAGGAAGCTAAACAGCAGAGCGAGACCATATTATGGAGGCGCAGTGACTGCTGGTTTCGGGAGTTCCTTCACCAGTTCTGAGGCTGGTGCAGGAAATGCACACAATGAGCACCTTGTTGTCCAGAAAGCAAGGAAGTGCTAAACAGAACACTCACACTGACGTGGGTGTGTCAGAAGGCACAGGGGCCAACTAGAGCAGCTCCCGAGGCTGGGACAGTTGGACGAACAAATAAAGTAGTATTGGATTATAACTCATACAAAATAAACATGCACTTATACTGAAACAAATGACTGGATAAATAAATAAACGAAGAACAGAATTCTCCCGTGCAGAATCCCAAATAACTTGTGCCAATACTCTGCCCTCCAGGAGGTGGAGTATTACTCCTCCTCAAGTATGGGCTGTGCCTGGTGGCTTCCTTCCAAAGAGGGGAGGGGGCATTCCAGGGTGCAGGGGTGGGAGTGACCGTAGAGTGGAGAATCCTGGAAAACACTGCTTCAGTCCCGTGACCAAGGCTCACATCACCTGTAAGAAGTCGCTTTGAGAGACTTGCCTGGCAGTCCAGTGGTTCAGACTGCACCTTCAGTGCAGGGGGTGCCATGGATCCCTGGTCGGGGAGCTGAGATCCGACATGCCTCGAGGCCAAAAAAAAAAGCAAAACATAGATCAGAAGCAATATTGTGTACAAAGTCAGTAAAGAACTTTTAGAAAGTTCCAATGGTAAATTTTTTTTTAGAAAGCTATCGGTGTGGCGAGAATGGCTCTTTTACTTCTTCCCCTTATAACCAGTAACCCCAATCCAGTCATGAGAAAAAGAGCAGATGTACCCCAACCGAGGGACTGTCTATAGAATACCTGACCAGCATTCCTGAAAATGGTCCGGGTCATCAGAAAACAGGGAAGGTCTGAGAAAAGATCAGGAGGAGGCTAAGGAGACTTAACAACTAAATGGAATGCAGCAGCCTGGCTGCGATCCTGAACTTCAAAGGACCTGAGGTCAAAACTAAGGGAATCTGAGTAAAGCACAGGCTTTGATATCTCAGGATTGGCTTCTTAATTGTAATAAATACACCATACAACTGAAAGAGGTTAATAATAAGGGAAACTGGGTGTGGAATATATGGAGTTAGGGACTGTCTTCACAATTGTCTGTAAACCTAAAACTTTTAAAAGTAACTTTTTTTAAAGAGAAGCATTCTTCTGGCAGGGAGATGGCTTTTGAAGAGGTGAACTGAAACCTGATCAGAATTGAATGATAAAGTTATAGGTGATTGTCAGTTGCTGACAGTGAGATTACAGAGACCTGGCTCCGTCTACACAGTGCATGGAGCCTCTCATTTGTGTAGAAGCACCCCTTTCAGCAGCAGTCTCCTTCTCCAGATAACACAGTCCTCTTTTCGTTTCCTGTCTCATAACCATGAACCCTTTGTAAAATCCATAGTATTTTAAGATGAGGTATTGTGGGCAGATGGTTTTTCCTAGTTTCTTCAAATACATGTGAAGGAATGTGTTCATGTGAAAGATTATTACACTCTGAGTAGCCGAGATAAATATGAACAAATCGAGGCCCTGACAGTTTGTTCTGCGTCCTGTCGTCACGTGACCCTGGGCTTGTCACTGCGCCCCTCCATATCTCCTCCATCCACCAAATGAGAGGGTTGAACTGGAAAAATTTCTATGGTAACTCGCAGCTCTAAAAATACAGTGATTCTAAATTAAGATTTAGAGAGAGAGAGGCTTTGGCACCACAAATAATGGAATCAAAGTTCCTAATTCCTTTTGTCTCTAGTTGGTAGTAATGTTTGTGTGTTCGTTGCTCAGTCACGTCCGACTCTTTTGCAACCCCTTGCACTGTAGGCTCCTCTGTCCATGGGATTTTGCAGGCCAGAATACTGGAGTGGGTGGCCATTCCCTCCTCCAGGGGATCTTCCCGACCCAGAGACTGAACCCAGGTCCCCCTGCGGGCAGGTTCTTCACCGCGAGAGCCACCGGGGAGGCAGTGGCACTAGACGCCGAGTCAGCGTCACCTTGCCAACTGCTCTGAGTCGTGTGCAGCGTTCTCATCCTGCTCCCCACCTTCTTGGAAGGGAGGTTCAGTGTAGAATTCAAGTTTTAGATAAGCTGAAAGGGCCATCTAGTCCAACGCCTTTGTTTTATAGTTTGTCTGAGAAGCTAGCCAGAGGCAGAGACCGGGGTTTCTGATTCCTGGTCTTGAGCTTTTTATAGGCCTTACGCTTGCCACAGAGCAGGATCAGTCCTTTTGCAATGCCACCAGGACCTCATTTGCACTGTTACCAAAATGGTCCTTGAAGGCAGTGTCTCACTGTCCACAACCATTGTGTCAATCAGCTTGAGTCCCTGATCTGGGGAAAAGTAACTGGGGGGAGGTGGGGGAGGAGTCTAAGGCTCTCCTCTTAACCTGTCTTCTTCAGGTCTGCGAAAAGGAAATGGCAGTTTCATTTTTTTTCCCCTTTCCTTTTCAGTTTCATTGCTTCCCTTCCCCTGGTAATGACATAGCCAGAGCTGATTTGTTTACGGAAGCCACGTGAATGAGCCAGCCCCCAAAGGGTTAACACTCCCAAATTACGGGGCTGGGTTAACAATAAACAGGATGTCCTCCAGAAATTAAATTTAAACCACTGTGACTCAGGCTGGCCCATCCTCTCAACCAGATCGTTGTCTGGGGTTATTATCGGTGGTTAATTATACCATTGGGTTTAGTGGCAGTGTTGGTCAGCGCGGGCCAGGAGAAGTTGGGCTCCGAGAGAGGGGTGTGTGTGGGGTGGGGTGAGGGATGCGGTGGGAGCGGGAGGTTTGAATGGAAGGGACCACGGTCCTGAGCCTGGAAGGAGAGTGTTGAGGGGGATCCAACCCGCACCCCGAGGGCTCTTCCCTGAGCTGATCCCAGCCAGGAAGGCTCCCCTCCCTCCTGCCCGGGTGGGAGAAGCCTGTGCTTCTGTAGCTGTTGGGTTGCACTGTGGCTTCTTTAATTCTCAGAATTGTAGGGTCATAGAATTTTCAGCACCTGAAGGTAGCTTGTAGACTCCCAGTTTAACCCTCTGGTTTCCCAGAGTAGGAGATTAAGTCCTGGTGAAGGGCAGCCTGTCCGTGAGAGGGGAGGTGGGGTTAGACTCCTCCACCATGACCTTCCTCCCGTCAGGGCAAGCTGTCTTCCATTTCCAGGTGGACAGCCTGAGGGGCAGAGCTTCCCAGCAAGTTGGAGCCAACCTTGAGTTGAATTCAGATTCTTCACCAAGCTAGCTTTATTTAGATGTTGTCAGTTCTTGCGGGACATAACCCAGCCTGACTGATCCTTAATGCCCCTGCAATTTGTCATCTCTCCCCAGCCCCACAAGAAGCTCTCCACGGTTTCAGAATTTCCCTGGTGGTCCAGTGACTAAGACTCCGTGCTCCCAATGAAGGGGGCCGGGGTTCAACCCCTGGTCAGGGAACTAGACCCCACATGCTGCAACCAAATATATAAATAAATATATATTTTTTTTTAATCAGCTTTTTAAAAAAAGCCCTCCACAGTGTGTCTCTCTATAGAAAAATAGGGAAGCACCTACTGCAGATGAGAGTGGGTTTTTTGTTTGTTTGTCTTTTATGTATTTATTTGGGGGGAGATGATAGTGGGTTTTGTGGTGGTTTTTTAAAGGCATGTTTTCAAGGATGAGAACTGTCCAGGTGAGCTTGTGACCTCTCTGAACTAGCCACTCCCCAAGACGCACGGTTTTTAGTGACTGTCACTATCCAGTGTCTCGCCTTTCCTGGCTTCACCTTTGCAGTGTATTTAGACAGCAGACAGTGGTGCTCAGAGGCACCTCCATCTGCGTGTCCATGGAGGACCGTTGCCCTGGAGCCCAGGCTGGCTGCCGATGGTCCTCGACCCACAGGCATGTGGTGTACCCTGAGGTGAGGCACCGCTTCCAGCGGGGAAGTGGCCGTACCTCGTTGAATCTTTTCAGCCACGTCCTTCCCCGTTTCTCCTAATCTCCCTCTTCGTCTCTCTCTGTCTCTCTCACAGGATTCCTTTCAAGATTGGGCAGCCCAAGAAACAGATTGTCCCCAAAACAGTGAGTAACCAGTTCTTTGACTCTGAGACTCACGTGGCCTTTGTATAGAACCGGAGCTTTGACTCAGCGGGTCCTGGGACTGGAGAAGCAGAACCAGGGTCTTATTAAGCCCAGTCGTGTCGCTCTAGGACCTCTCATAGGCGGGGGCTTGCAGGGCCCTCCTGTCCCAGGACACTTTATTCCCTCAGGTCAGTCTGGGCCCTGCCTCCTCCTTGGGAGGAGGAGGTAAGGACGGACACCCTGCTTCTGAGCAGCCTGTCACTGAGGTCTGGTTGTGACAATCTGCACTTTACTGAAAGCATTCAGTAAACTCACCAGGGACATGCCCCAGACCTATATCTCCGGCCTCCTCAGGCTGCGTAAAATCCCAGGGAGCCTCCCTGGGATGCCCAGGTCCCCTTCTCTCTGCTGCTACATTCATTCTTAGCCAGGACCCAGAGCCACTCAGAGGAAGGACGTGATTGACTCCTGCCCTCTTATAAAAAAGCAGAGACATCACTTTGCTGTCAGAGGTCCATATAGTCAAAGCTACGGTTTTTCCAGTAGTCATCATGTTCAGGTGTGAGACTTGAACCATGAAGAATGCTGAGCACTGAAGAATTGATGCTTTTGAACTGTGGTGCTAGAGAAGACTCTTGAGAGTCCCTTGGATAGTAGGGAGATCAAACCAGTCAATCCTAAAGGAAATCAAGCCTGAATATTCATTGGAAGGACTGATGCTGAAGCTCCACTACTCTGGCCACCTGATGCGAAGAGCCAGGTCATTAGAAAAGACCCTGATGCTGGGAAAGACTGAGGGCAGGAGAAGAAGGGGACAACAGTGGATGAGATAGTTGGATGGCGTCATTGACTGAGTGGACATGAGTTTGAGCAAACTCTGGGAGATAGAGAAGGACAGGGAAGCCTGACTTGCTACAGTCCGTGGGGTCTCAAAGAGTCGTACATGACTTAGTGACTCATCAACAGCAACCCTCTTGTAAGCTCACAGCTTTTATCCCCATTTTATCATCCCAACAGGAGAGGATGAAAATCTCAATTCTTAGGAAGTTGGGACTGTGGGACTTCTCTGCTGGTCCAGTGATTGGGACTCTGTTCCCACTGCAGGGGCGCAGGTTCAGCCCCTGGTCAGGGAACTAAGACCCCACGTGTCATGCCCTTAGAGATTGTCCAGTCCAGCCTCCAGTTCTCCTGACGAGACCAGTGGCCGTAGAGCTGTGGTGACTTTCTGAGGCCTTAAACCTAATTCTGACAGAGCTGGATGGAGACCATGTTCAGGACTCTTGCCGTTGCTCTGCGTGCTCTCAGGTGGACTGTGAAGGCCTGAGATTTTGAAATTCTAGTGAGGAATGGCCTCTTCAAGCCCTCACCCACAGATCTGAGTGAGACTTAAAGGTCTAACGCGGGAGACCGTAACTGTAAGCCCAGCACTCGTCAGCCTGCTGGAGGTGCTGCACCGTCTCCCCAGCCACTGGCGGTTCTTGTCTTAGTAACTTTGGCTCAGGACTCAGGACTGGGTTTGGCGGCAAGGGAAGTTCTGAGCACATCTGAGCACTGGCTGCATCTTTGGGAAATCCACCGTCAGGTCACTTAGGAGAAAATGGGCTTGCGTTAAAAGACCCCTCCTGTTTTTCAAGCAAAGGCAGGCCAGGGACAGACTCAGAGCTTACCTCCCATGCAGAGGCTGAGCAGCTGTGGAGGCTGAGGCGCGGAGAATCTGGGCGTGCTGCAGCCGGCCACAGGAAGTGGGAAGGTGTGGCTTTGAGTCTCCAGAGTTTAATCCAGGGCAGATCTGAAAGGGAAGTGGTTTCGAGAAGGGTCTTTTATTCCCAGCACTCACTACCAAAAAACAAGCAAAGGAACAAAACTGTCTCCTAACATCCCAGCCTTTGTCAAAATAGCCTTTGTCCTCTGTGGAAAAGTATAGTCGAGAATGCAGTTTCTAGCTTCCTTGGCAGACTTCGTTGTTGGAAAGTCTCTGGGTCTTCTATTCGAGGCAATGGCCAGGACTCCCCAGGCGAAGGGCAGATGGCAGACTCTGTGCCTGTGGATGGGCCCGAGGCCTCCCTCTTCCCTCCCTAGAGTCCCTCGTGTTTGGGACAGAATTGTAGTCCTCTCACTCCTGGCATCAGCTCCTCCAGACAGACTGGGTAGCACGGAGTGGATTTGTAAGCTTCTCTGTCTGGATTCCTGTCCTGACCCTGCCACGTGCTGGCTGTGAGTCTCAGCAAGTTCCTTACCCTCTCTGAGCCTTTGTTTCGGAGAGGGTTGTGTGGCTTTTTTTTTTTTTTTTTGGTCAAGCCACCCTACTGCATATGAGATCTTAGTTCCCCAACCGGGGATCAAACCCCACTCCCTTCCTGCATTGAAAGTTTGGAGTTTTAACCACTGGACTGCCAAGGAAGCCCTTCTGATCCTTCATTTTCTCTTTGGTGAAGTGAGGATGTTACTCGCTCCTATGTCATTGATGTGTGATGTATCTCACAGGAGGAGCAGATGAAGCACTTAACACAGTACCTGGCAGGCAGTGAGCTCTCGGCAGGTACTCACATAATGAGATGATAGCTGATGTGACTGCATAAACCACCAAGGGCCCAGCCTGTCCCAAACAGCTGGATTCCCCACTGCAGCCCAACCGGTCCAGTCACCTAGGCCTTCAGTCTATCAAGAGGAAATCAGAGCCAACTCATGGCTTGGAATAGAGGCCTTTGCTTCCTCGACTCCCCAGAGGCACTGAATCTGTATAGCAAGACCCTGCCTCTTTAGATTCTTCCTCCACCCCACCAGCCCCTCCTGGCCCCCACACAGGCCCAGGCCATGCAGTTGTCTCAGCATCTCTGGCAGCTGCCCCCGAACTCGGGTGACGCACTCTGTTTTTCCAGGCCCTCTCGGGGAGGGAACAGATGTGGCTGCCTGGGTTATTGGAAGTCGCGGCACCCTTGTCATGGGAAGAAGTGCTCATGTTATCTTCAGGGAGTTCCAGGAGTTTTCTTGGCTTGAGGCACCCAACCATCAGACACAAAGAAAGCTTTGTGCATTTGCCCTCCCCATTCTGCTGTGCCCAGGTTATTAACACAGACCCCAGGATTGTCAAAGCTTTGGCTGGGAGGGTGTGTTTTCTGCAGGGGCTGACCCCTGGGACAGAAATGGAAGGACGGGCACTCGCCCACCTCCTCCTCCTCGGCTTCTGCGGAGTCCCCTCCCGCTGCCCCAGCCCATCGAGGAGCTGGAGTGTCTTGGTGCAGAAGAGAAACTGTACCTCCCTCTATAGCCAGGAAGGTGGAAGACTTCATTCTTTTTTTTTTTTTTTCAATATTTATTTATTTGGCCACGCCAGGTCTTAGTTGCAGCATGAGATCTTAGTTCCCTGACCAGGGACTGAACCCGGACTGCCCGCATCTGGAGCGTGGCGTCTTAGCCACTGGCCCACCAAGGCTGTTCCAGACTTCAGCCTTTAAAGCAAGGCTTTCCCGGGGTCTCGCGCACACCCAGAGTCCCAGCTAGGCAGGCAGGCATTCTGGGAGGTCCAAGCAGGTGGGAGTCACAGCAGGTTGATCCTTCCCTTGAGAACTGTTTCCACATGCAAAGTGAGGGGACCCTTTGTAACAAATCTGAGAGAGGCTGCTTCCTGGAGGGGGAGTTTCTCAGCTGGCCCAGGGTTCCTGTTTCCTCAGCTCAGTTTATAGCCCCAGGACGTGAGCCTGGTCCTGCCCAATGGGCCTCCCTGTCTTCCCCATGCATGTGAGTGGGCAGAAATTCTGCCCCATACTCACTCAACAGCCACAGAACTCCTACCGTGTGGCAGCCTGGCCCAGGCCCTGGAGACGAGCCACGAGCCGTTCGGCCCCTCTGGCCACCCCGAGCCTCCGTGGATGCCGAGGCGGTCTCCGCGCTTGATCCTCCCAGCGCTGACCTCGCCAGCCAGGCCCGACCCGTCGACGGTCGCACACATGTGTTTACGCTTGCATTGTTGACTGGGGTCCAGTTGCCTTTTTGGCAAAGGCATCGGGCGTCCAAAGATGTTCAAACCTTTTGTTTTTGGCTCCTTTCCTCAGCACGGATGCACCTTGGAACGAGCCTTCAGTGTGTCCCTTGATCCCCTAAGCCATCGTCTGAGAGCCTGGAATCCGGGTGCTCTGCCTCCCAGATCATTCCCCCGGGGACCAGAGACCTCCGGAACAGTGAGCTCTGGAAGTAGCCCCAGGTGGCTGCCAGAGACAGGAGCTGAAGCATCCTCGACCTTCTCTTAGGCTGTCAGTGTGCAGAGCAAGAGCCCCAAGTTCCCACCCAACACACTTCTCTGCTTCCAGCGCAAGGTCCCCAAGATTCTCCTGAGCCAGTTGGAAACCTGCAGTCCTTCTACATGCAAGGACCAGCAGTGGCACCCAGGGAGACCAGGTTGTCCGACACCCCACCCAGCACCCTGGGGATTGCACAAGAGCGTGCTGCAAGCCAGGCCTTCACCTCCGTCCCCCCTTTCCCCCATCCCCACTGCCCGCCACCTCCCAGGGCCCCTCCTGTCTGCTCTTGATCTTCAGGAGAGCAAACTCCAGCCATGGTGACCTTCATTTCAATTACATCTTTTTGGCCAAAAAATGCCTGTAAGACATGAAGACTCTGCTGGGGCACCAGTGACGAGGCTTTTTGTTTGTTTTGGGAGTTTGGGGGTTTTTTTGTTTGTGCCAAGTGGCTTATGGGATCTTAGTTCCCTGACCAGGGATTGAACCTGGGCCCTCTGCATTGGGAGTTCATAGTCTTAGCCACAGGACCAGTCACAGGCAAGTCCTGTGAATGTAGTTTTGTTTTGTTTTGTTTTGTTTTTTAAAAAAAAAAAAGGCCTGAACTAGGAGTCTGCATTCTAGCCCTGCTATCCCACAAATGAGGCCTGTGTCCTGAAGTAAATCACTCCCTCTGGCAGCATGCTCCTCACTTATCACATGAAATCCTTGGCCTGGATAATGTCCTGCCAGTGTGTGACTGTGCTGAATTTACCTCCGTCCAGACGTGGCGCGTGAGGCCAGTGTGGGGGAACAGCACATGGGTCTCTGATGATAACTACAGATTTGCGTGCCTCACCTTTAACCTGTATGTCCGGTGACAGGATTTAGGGCTCTGCCTCGGAGGAGTCTCTGGGTGGCCGCCAGGAAGGCCCTCTCGGAGGTCTTGGCCTCAGTTCATCAGCTGGGGCTTCCCCCACTTTTGTAGCATGACAGTTTAGGGCACAGACCTGCGAGCCAGGCTGCTGTGTGCGCATTCAAACCCTAGCCTCCCACTCAGTAGCGGTGTGACCTTGATCCCAGGGACCTCAGTGTGGTGAGGGCCCTCAGCACACCTGCCTGCCTGCCAAGTGACTGATGGAGGACAGGCCAGCTACGGGAACGTGCTGGGAGCAATTAGGCCTCCTTGGGAGAGGACGAAGCAGAGGCAAGACTCAGTTCTCCCGTGGGACTCCACTGGCCACTCTCCTGAGACCACTGCCTGGGCCCCACGTGACCGATGGGGAGATTCAGGCTCTAGAAGTGCAGGTGACTTCCCTCACTTCACCTGCCATGTCAGTCAAGGAATTGGGGTCCAGTCACACACTCCCTTGGTTTAAATATCAAGGAAACCTGGTAACTCATCCAGAGTTTAGATAACCTTGCTGAGTCTGTGATGATATTTGTGATGGGTGCATCCCAGCTCACAGAGCAGTGATCCTGTGTCTTTCGCGATCCACCTGAACCTCTCAGGCTCAGGACTTGTGAGGAAACAAGTTGGGAGGGGACAGGGCCAGGATGAGACTTCAACCCGCCCGCTTTCCTCCAAGCCTGGGTGAGGAGTTTCTGTCACACTCTGAGCCCCTTACCTGCCTCCCCACCTGTGGGGAGGGGAGGGGTGTAGGGAGCACAGCCCAGCCTCACTCCCTGCGGGGTCAGACAGAGCTGAGATCTGCTGGTACCTGTCTGGCTGGCCCGCCTAGGAGGGGAGGCCTTCACCCTAAATCAAACAATTAATTTGGAAACACAAGGCTCCTGTGTCATGAGCAGTGCTTGTGTGGACTGGATGGCATTGTTTTCCGCAGAAGGGGTGGCGGGGAGGGCGGGCCAAGAGTTTCGTAGGTGGCAGATTTTTTCCAACGTGCTTTCAGTCTTCCAGTGATTGAGTTATCACTTCCTTTTTAGGTGGAGAGAGACTTTGAACGAGAGTATGGAAAACTCCAGCAGTGAGTGTCAGCCCCGAGAAGGGTGGGCGGGAAGGGGTTTCTGCTCGGGAAAGGAAAGAGTCTCCTGCCCAGTCTCGCTTCCCACATCACCTCATCCACTGACCATCATCCTGTCAGCATCCCAGGAGCCAGGGCAGCTCAGTCCACCACTGGCCAGAAATTCTGCCCTGAGGGGTGGCTGCCTGAGAGTCGTTATCTCGTAGCCTTTGGGTGTGTGGGCTCACGCCAAGCTTGTAGTGGCCCTTCAGTCAGTAGGAACATCCTCGCAGAGCAGGGCCCCTCCTCCTCCTCCTCCTCCTGGCGGGAACCCCGAGTCCCACGCAGGGTGCAGCTCAGACGGGTGGGCGAACAGGGGTAGAGGCAGCCGGGCAATGCCAGGTTCCAGGCCCATTCCACTGCCTTGCAGGCTGGAGGAGCAGACCCGGCGTCTGCAGAAGGACATGAAGAAGAGCACGGACGCCGACCTGGGTAGGTGGCCCTGCCCCGCACTCAGCCAGGATGGGAGACGGGCAGAGGGGGTCGCCCTCCTCACTCAGTCCCCTGAGGCTGGCTTTGAAGAAGGTGCACTTAGCAGCCGCCCCACAGGTGTCCCTGAGAAGTGCCACGAGGCCACGTTTCACTCAGCAGACTACCGCTCTCTGCTTTCCCTGCAATAGCAGCCGCCACCAGCAACGGGTGGAGGCCAGCTTCTGGGTCTGTGCCCCAGAGCCTCCTGCCAGAGCTCATCCATGGGATGGGAAGGTCTGGCCGTGACCGCCCCCACTCTCCTGACTCCTGGTGTCTCCATGCTGTGTATAGCAAGCCACAGGTCTGAGTTTGAGTCCGTCCATTATTTGTTTTGTGGGAGTTAGTTCCGAGTCACCTGGAGTCCATCTTTCTTTGTGGATCCTCCTGTCTTCCCAGCAGGAGATGCTGTGGCCTGGGCTTCCTTTCCCTCTTGCTTCCCCATACTCCTTAGAAAAATGGAAGGAATAGAACATCAGGGATCTGTGAGGTGGATTCTGACTGTAGAGAGCACAGGTTTTTAACAAAGAAACCAGGATAAACGGCCAGCCTCTGGGGCCTCAGATTCCTGACCTCTTCCTTCGCAAGTCAGAAGTGGAGTCTGGGCAGAGAAAGCCGCCTTGACACAATGTTGCCCTCACCCATCACAAAGCCTGTGTCCCCCAGTCCAGGAAGCCTCACAACCCCGGCAGCTGGTGCGTCAGAGGTAGTGCATGCCCGCTGGAGTGCGGATGGCCCGGCCCACCCCCAGACTCTGAGTCATCAGGTCCCGGCAAGGCCTGAAAATCTATGTTTCTAGCCAGTTCCCAGGCAGCACTGATGCTGCTGGACCAGGGACCCCACTTTGAAAACTGCTGCTCCAGACAGTCGGGGGGAATCAGATTATTCCTTTCCTGGTCTTGGAAACCGCTGAGCTGGTACCTAGACAGGATTTCACGTCCGAAGCTGTAGGTCCAGAACAAGATCAAGTAAGCATGACCAGTCCCTGCTGGGTCCTCATCAGCCCTGGTGCTCCTGGGTTGTGTTAAGGCCCTAGAGACTCGCGTGGGGCCCAGGACCTCGAGCTGTCCAAGGTACAAAGCCCACCAAGCCTCCTGGTTTGCGCTGGTCAGGCCATGCCCCTGCCCTGACCCTGCAGAGCGAGGGTGAGGGCTGTGAGCTGCGGCATTGGAGAGCGGAGGGCCCCCTGCTCACGCAGGCCAGCCGTACCTCAGAGTGGAGGTCCAGACTCACTGCCACCCTGGAGGGCTCGCTTTTCATTCACTGCAGGTGGTTCTAGCAAAGCGACGTCACATGAAGATGTGGCCCCTGTAGGGAAGAAAAGGAAAATTGGGAAGAAAGTCTTCTCTCCTGACCTCTGCCTTTTGGGGGTTTTCTCCTCAACTATTTAAAAAAAAAAAGTAGCAGAAGAAATTTTTCAAAACCATTTCTAGATTTGTCCAGGTTTTTCATCTTTTAGTGATGTTGTCTGCAGCCATTTCATGATCCAGTCAAGGTGCATGTGAATTTGTGCCCAAGCCTACAAAGTTACTTAACTTTTTTTTTAAGAGGGTTTTCCCCTCCATCGCATCAACATCTCTGGGAGGTTCACATTTCCCGTCATCTCTCATATTTGGCCCTTCGGCTGGAGGGTCTGCAGCACACTGCCAGAGTCAAGAGAAACCAAGGTGCTTATTGCAGTAGTCTGCTTTGGTTTAATTGGCAGCATTTTTTTTCTTAATGGCTTATACAGTAATGGCATGTCTTAGAATTGACAGCATCTTTAATTTAATAACATAAAATAGTAAGAGATAGTGCAAAGATTTGTTTTCCCCTGAGCCCCTGAAACTGGTACAGGCGCTACAGAGCAAAGAAGGCCCTTCTCCAGCCTTTCCGGCCCCTCTGGGATTTTGTTTCCAGGTAATAGAGGCCTGAAAAAGTCTATGGGACCAAGAGCTCCAACACTGCCAACAGGTTGCCTCGTCACACCAGATCCTGCCAAGTTTTGTCAATAAAGTTTTATTGGAACACAGCCACACCCATTCTTTGGGTATCACCTGTGGCAGAGTTGAGTTGTTGGAAGCCTAAAATCTTGTCTGTAGCCCTGTACAGTACATTTGCCTCCCTGATGTAGATACTATGTTACTCTTTCCGTGAGGGAGCCCCAAACCAAGCCTCACATCCAAACTGCTTGGAGATTTTTTTGAACACATATTCCTTGATTCCAGGCTTACTGAAATAAATCTTTAGAGCTAGAAATATGTATTCCTTACAGCTTCCCATCCAAATGATTCTGTTAGAATCTAGAGTTTGGAAGATAGGTCATTGCAGCAGGTAAATCTGCTCAGAATTCCCCCAAGCAGCATCCGATGAACAATAGCAGCGTCAGGCACACGTTATACACCATGAGGACCAATGCCTGGTGCCTCTGGGGTGACTGTGGTTTTGATGGCCTGTGGCCATGGGTGAAGGTCATCCAGGTGCAAGACTCCGGCCCCAGGAAAGACAGGGAGCCTGCAGACAAGACCTTGAAGCCTGTCCTGTCGTCAGTTCACTGAACTTTGATCTCTTACAGCCATGTCTAAGTCTGCTGTGAAGATATCCTTGGACTTGCTCTCCAACCCCCTCTGTGAGCAAGACCAGGACTTTCTGAACATGGTGACCGCCCTGGACACGGCCATGAAGCGGATGGATGCCTTCAATCAGGAAAAGGTGACTGGGGTCTCTGCCCACCCGCCACGTTCCACGGCTTGTGGAATCTTAGTTCCCCAACCAGGAATCAAACTATTCCCCCTTCAGTGGAAGTGCAGTCTTTAACCACTGGACCACCGGGGAGTTTCCAGGGTGACTGAGGTGTTGGTCTTCCCCCTTCTCGAGGCTTTTGTCTGGGAGACGCGCCCATGGAGTCCTTGCGGAGGCTCAGTGTCAGCCCTGTGAGCTCTCCTGGCCGCCGAACCCCTGCAGTGGGCGCTTGCCGTGGCTCCTGTGAGCTCACGTCCCTCACCGTGAGGCCACAGGGGAGACTCAGCCAGCTCTGCCCACCTGCACCCGTGGCCCCTCAGACTCGCTGTGGCTACCCCCCCAGCCTCCTCACCAAACACGGCCACATTCAGCCTTCCAGACCGTGGGCCAAGACCAGTGCCTCTCATCACCCTTCAGAATCCCTGCTCATCATCTCGGCCTTGCTCCTTCAGCAGTTAGGGGTGTCTCCTCCCTGCCTGGGGCGCTCGGGGTGCCCCGTCAGGCCCCGTTTCCTTTCTCTTCTCCCCTTTAGGGAAGAGTCTGGCCTCCCCCTGGTCTTGACGCCATCTGGTTTTTCTTTCAACAGGTGAACCAGATACAGAAGACTGTGATTGAGCCCTTAAAAAAGTGAGTAAAGTCGTGGGATCCGTGGGCCTCACTCAGGCCATGCACTGAAAAGGCAGTTCAGCCAGCCGCTTGGGAGCTGAGTATCATTTCTACTAACCTGCCCCAGGGTCACTCTGGGCAGACAGGAAGTTCCAGGGGACACCGGTGACCGGCCCTGTGGCCGACACTCGTGGTGGCTCCAGGGCACCCCACCTGTTCGGGTGTGGTCAGTGCCGACAGGGCCCACCTGGCCCTCCCCGGCAGCCTGCTGGCACCCCCGCGGGCTTTCCACGTTGTTGTCCCTGTGTTGCTGATGGACCAGAGCTTGTGGGGTTAAGCTCGCAGAGATCTTGGCTAGCCCTCAGCGGAGATGAGTGAGGCCTTTCATCTCACCCGGGCTGGGAGAGCAGCTGCCTGCAGCACCCGGCTTTTAAAATGTGGGGGTGGCCACACACAGGGCGGGGCACAGCCGCCTGGGAAGGGCCCCCAGCTCGTGACCTGTCAGGGTCAGAAATCCTTCTGTGAGGCTCAACTTCAGTCTGGCAGGCTCTGGTCAGCGATCAGACAGGCCTATTCCCTGGTCCCCTGAGGTGGGGGGTGGGACGGCAGTGGGGAGGACAGGCAGGAACATTGCCTTGAAGCTCCCGAATCACTTCATCTTCCTCCCTGGCCTCTCCCAGCCCAGCTCTGACCTAGAAAGCCTCCCGCGCCAGCCCAGCAGCTGCTCTTTATTACCTCTTCCGTGGTGGTCCCTGGCAGTTGTCTCACCAGGGCTGGGTAATGAGGCTGCGCTAATTACCATTAGGCCTGGATCAGGGCCCGGAGGGAGATGAAGAGTGCAGGTTTTTGATCCTCCAGCCCCTGGCGTTGGGGTTGTTGAGCTCTTGTTCCCTGTTCGGGTCCAAGGGGTGGGATTAGGGAGGGCTCCTTCTAAGCCAGGCCGTCTAGAGGCTCAGCCACGCAGGGACGCAGACCTTGGGCTGAAGGGATTTCTCCCCACCCCTGCCCTGGGCCCCTGCCCCCAGCCCCTGTCTGGGCCTAGGTGGCAGGGTCACCCGAGGAGCTGGGGTCGGGGGGATAGCAGTTCAGGAGGGAGGCCTCAGAGCTCCACTGCTGATGGCTCTCTGAGTCCGTCTCCAGGTGTGAGGGTTCAGAGCTGGGTGGGAAGGACCTTGGGCTGGGCAGACCCTGCACACAGGTGTCCCTGGGGTTGTCATGGAGGCTGCTATGGACACCCAGGCCGGCAGGGTGAGGCAGGGGACACCAGCCTGGAGAACTGGGGGACGGACTCCCGCCTCGATCTCACCACCACCGAGGCGGCCTTGAAATTCGATGCCTGGCTTCTAGGGCCAGCTGGAGAGAGGGCCTGGCTGCTTCCCGCCACCCCAGCAGCCCACCACCTGCCAGGAAGGTGGGCGAGTGGCTGGCCGGGGGGGCGGCCATCATCTCCGCAGCAGATCCGCTGGCCTCCGCCTGAGCCCCCTGGCCTGCCTGCCTGCCCGCCCGGCTGGCTTCTATGCACCCCGTGGCCGACATGCGATCCCCTCCAACCGCGTGAACCCAGCACTGCCTGTTGCCGCCTCTTGCCAGGCGAGAAGCTCCCAGGGACCCCAGCACCGGAAGCAGGAAGCTGCAGCTTTCCTGTCCTCTGATGAGGAACACTGCCACATGGCCACCCCGCCGCCCCCGGCCGCCCCCGGGGGCTCGGCCTCTAATCCCAGTCTCTGGGCCGTGTTCACATGGTCGGATGGGGATGCTTTCAATTTCCCTTTCCTGGTGGGTGGAAGATCCCGGCTGTGTGGGCACAGATTGAGGAATGGCAGGCATTCCCCACTAGGGCCGGCTGCTCCCAGCCCACCTCCCAGCCGGCCTCCCTTCCCTCCCTCTTTCCCTCCACCTCCTGCTACCTCTTCACCCAATGCTTACCCCAGGAGGCATTTGCTGTCCGCCCCCTCAGGATGGGCAAGAAATGGACAGAGCTTCAGTGAGCGCCCGGGGTAGGCCCAGCCTTGCTCTCACTTCTCCGTGGGAAGATGTGATTCAATCTTTAGGAGCTTGGGATGTAGTGAGGAAACCATGCGGCATTCCAAGAAAATGGTCCAGAGTGATAACTGCCAAGGCGGGGCAGTGCAATGCAGCAGGAAGAGCCGGGGACAGGCCAGGCTTGTCTCTTGTCTGTGGAAGGGGAGCAGGGCTAAACTCTTGAAATGACCAAGCCCATCATCACCTCCCTGAGTGGGTGAAGGAGCTGTCATGGGCTGGAGTGACTCTGTGCATGGAGGGCAGAGACCCTCCTGGGGTCCTGGCCCAGGGACCCCATGTCCCCCTCACCAGTAATTTTCAGGGGACTCTGGAACCGAGCAGAGAGGTTCTGAGCCTCAGCCTTGCTTCTTCATGTCCACCCAGTCACAGCGCAGACTCGGTCCCCAGGGAGAGCTGGGCCACCTGTCCTTGTCAGGTCAGTTCCAAAGGTGCCCTGGAGGGTCCCAGGGCCATGTCTGGGAGGGGCCCAGGCCCTGGGGACCAGCCTGTGCGTGTCCTAACCTGCCTCTCGCGTCCCTGCCCTGATGTGAAGGTAGGGGCGGCGCTTACACACCCCAGACACGGAGCGGGGTCAGCACTGTGGTATTTAAACTCCCTAACGTGGAGCTGGCAGTGCTTGCTGTAACTTCTGAGGAGAAAATGAGGAGGTGGGGCTTCAGTGAGGCAGTGACTAGAGCCAGAGATGACAGAGTCCTGATCACCCCCACCCTTTGTCAGCTATTTTGGATTACACTGCCTAATCTCCCCTGCCCCACCTCAGTTTCCCTGCTTTCATATGGGAAGGGCCTGACCCCAGCCCCTAGGGGGTCCTGAAGCCCAGGGCCCAAAGCCACCCAGGTGGTAAGTGGTTCGTGACCCTTGGTGGCAAACGGAGTGAGTGGAGCAGCCCCCTGCGGCCCCTGGTTTGACTGAGGGGCGCTCTGGTGGGAGACGGGAGTCAGGGTGGTGAAGAGACCGCTTTCCCGGAGGGTCTCACAGAGCCGCTGCTGCTGCCCCCAGGGGACAAGCGGTCTCACTCCCACACGGCTGAAGGCAGCCTCCTGTGAGCGCACTCACCCCCTGAGGTTGCCTGGAAATCTGCCCTGGATCCATTCCTCCCAGCCTTAGCTCAGCACCTGCCCAACCTAGGGTTGGATTCCTACTTCCTGAGTTCAGTTCAGTCACTCAGTTGCATCTGACTCTTTGCAACCCCGTGGACTGCAGCACACCAGACCTCCCTGTCCATCACCGACTCCCAGAGCTTGCTCAGACTCAAGTCCATCGAGTCAGTGATGCCATCCAACCATCTCATCCTCTGTCATTCCCTTCTCTTCCCACCTTCACTCTTTCTCATTATCTGGGTCTTTTCCAGTGAGTCAGTTATTCGTGTCAGGTGGCCAAAGTATTG